TTATTTGACCATAAACAAGATTAATGAAGCCTACCGGGTTTTTATAATGGTAAACTGGTATACATAGTAAACAGCGACAGAAAAATAAAACACGAACTATAAAGGCAAAAACCGTGCTAAACAAATAGACAATATAATTTTATGCGATTATCTTTACAAGCAGTAAAACATACTACACTACGTCAAATGTTATGAATAAAGTAAAATAGTAAATTCGTAACCATATACGAAAAGTGTTATACTTTCCCTACTCGCACAAATCAATGCTCATTTTCCAGCCAGATGAAGGTTTTAACATAAGGCACTCATGATTGAACTAGATATATGAAAATGAAAATTTTTATTACTGGGACAACAAATATTAGTACTACTATAAATTCTAATTAATAGCTAGTAGGAGCAGATCTTCAAAAAAACCTGAACGGCTACAGTAGTATTGATTTGATTTGAAATGTATGTTTGATAACACTACAGACAGACAAAAATGTTTTTGCAATTTTTAAGGTATTCCTTCCCATTTTATATACTGGATTTTTTTGTCCCAGTGGCTAACCTATAAACCTATTGATTATTTTCAAATTCACCCCAACAATTTCTTCATTATCCATTTTTGGCCTTTATTTTCAATATTTTTACGCTATAGGAGGGATCTCGTGCCAATGAACAGAGCAAAATTCGGAATATATAATTTTGCTTCCAATTGAGATCCCTGCTATCTCACCCTTTTTGGACCCTATCTTTCTTAATTATAATCATCCTATTATTAAAGTACCTATAGTCTCAACTCCCCTTTTAAATTACTTCCCTGTTAACAAAGGAGATTTTCTGTCTAGTTTGATTGACTTTTCGAGGACCTTTTGCAGCTTTTAAAATTAAAAATAGATTTAAATTTACTTGAAGAAAGGTAATTTCTTGATTACAAATAATTTTACATATAGAGATGTTCTTTCTTCACTATATTTTCTTTTGAGAATTTTTGTCCAAAATGTTTTCATTAAAAAAAACTCGGCTCAATTGGTGTGGCATGGCAAGATTGAGCCTTCCACGAAATTCCCAGAGACAGTCAATTGTTCGTGAAATAAAAGCATCCAACTATATAAATTTTCTCAAAGTTCTAAATTTCTTAAAAATGAACGAAATTAATTTCGGTTAAGAAAAAATTTAGATTTATTGGGAAATCTGAAAAAAAAACATAATATCTTCATTACTGCAAAATATTTTGGGGAGCTGGCAGGGCCACAGAATACGTCACTAAATCGCGCGCAAATAACTAATTATTTTACTTTTCTAGCGCAAAACCTTTAATGTGCTTGGAACATTATTTAGTTCTTGCCTTAAAAAATAGTGATGTGCTACCCCTATATCATCAATTCTGTAAATAATTTAACTTAACTCTAGTTTAACCCAATTTTTTCTTGAAGATTCTGCTCCACGAAGCGTTTTTATCCGGATCTTAGTTTTAGATGTTTCATTTTTCTGATATATATCATTTTGATTTTCTTTTTCAAAAAATCCATGATGCATAGTACTTACACCCATAGAATTAATACGAACTGGTTGTTATTCATTGAACACAGCATTGTCCAAGGGACTAACACCACAATCGATTCCCTAATCAAATATTGTTTATAGACCCGTCGCTTGGTATTAATAATTCATTCGATCTAATCGCCGCGTAATGGCGAGGCTTGCACCGAATAAATTCGGATCTATCGGCCAAAATTAATTAGAGCGGCTTCTTGAAAATCCCACCTCTGATTTCTATCAGCGGTGAAGGTAAATTAGTTGGGGCTGGATGAAAAATTGAGTTTACTCACGGTTTTTAGTTGTCACGTTCGAACAAAGTGAATTCTCGAACCCGCTTAGAAATAGTCGAATTTTGAATTCTAAATTCACATTGATTTAGGCTACAAAACTACCAAACTCTATGACGTAATCCTCGAAATGTCAAATTATCCACTAGGTAAAAACATGTAAGGTAAAAAGAGTTATCTCTTAACGTAAAATAAAAATATTTTGGTTAGTTTAATTCTTTTTTTTTTCTAATTTTACCGTTAGTTCATTGCAATCTAAACGTTAAAAAATTTAATTTGTTTATTTCATTAATTTATTAGCTCTTACTCTCATAAAAAACATACGTTACTTATGGCACATAATGAAATGAATAAAGATAATCGAAAACAATCAAAATAGAACAGCAGACACAAAAATAACTTCAAAATAACAAAAAATGTTTACGAATTTATTGGACATAGCATATTGATATAAGAAAAAAAAAGGTAAAATTTTATACACAATTCACACACAATTCAAAAAATGCAACAAAGGAGTAAAAACATACATTTTTTATTTATTTACCCCCACTAGCTTTTGTTACTCGCTTACCGTTTTTGTCGATCTTAAAATAATGATTGTTCAGTCCTCATTAAGTACCCAAACTAGTCATATGCTCTTCTATTATTGCATTTTCTTATCTGTCCCTTAATATGAATGTGCTTTATGTTTGAGTCCTTAGAGAGTTCCGATATTTTCTGTCCAGGATTCTGATCCACAAATAGTGATCGACTTCGTTTTTCCAGCTCTTCGAGATACTTTAAATATTGTTTTTTTTTGTTTGGAGATTTTTAAACGTGAGGCCTTATAAGGTTTATTTCTACCGCTTTAATATGGTTTCGGATAATTTGCGTAACTATCCAGCATTCTGGACCACAAATGACAATTGTCTACACACTTTCACTACACACTAGATAAAATTTATACTTTATATAACGTGATGGATAAACAACGCCATTGCATCAATCCTTTGTTTACTTGGAGATGATGGTTTCTACCCTTATTTTGCTATATACCTCTAACATATTAAAAACATCTCTTAGAAATAAAGAGTCAATGGGATACAATTCTAGTTCTGCGCACAGCAGAAAATGAATTAACGCAAGATCAAACACATTCTAATAACATTCATAGAGAGCAACATAATTATTACTACAAAAATTTTAGTGTCATGGAAACACTAATGACGCAACACGGATGTGCTCATCTGCAGTATAGAATGCATTCTCCAATAGAAATTGTTTCATTATTTTACAAAATTTAGTGCATGATAGGTCCTTGATAACAATTTTTAGAACATTTTAATAATTAATGTACAATTCATTTAACTCGGATGAGTGCCGCCTAGAATGTCTTTTGACAATTAATTCAGATTCCCTCCTGTAGTGTTTGTGGCGATCACACCGCTTAGGCATATATTTCTTTAAATAAATAGTGATGGTAAGGTCAAAATATCAAGTTTTGAGAAGAGCGCACGACAGTGATCACGAGGTTTTGCATTCGCAATCACGCGTATCGCTTTTTTTGCATAAGAAAAGCCTTGCGGGCATGCACCCAATCACCCTCCGAAACAATAGCGTACGTTAAGTGGGAATGAAACAATCCGAAATAAGCAAGTCTTGACATGACAGGAATGAGTGACTTGTTTAAGTGTATAATTAAAAACAATTGAATTGACAGTTTGTGAAAAAGGTGTTCAATGTGATCTTTCCAAGAATGAGAACGATCGATCCAGATTGAAAACACCTTAACCGAAGCATTATTTAATTAGTGGACGTTGCTACAAGAGAAAATAAGATGGTTAGTTTTATTTTGGTTGAACTGTATGAGTTGGATCCGAACCATCCAAGCGCACGAGTCTAGTTAATCACACTACCAATACTAAGTTCATGTGGGTTTCTAGCTCGGGATAAGAGAATTGGATCATCCGCGTAAAGCGTAGTACACATAGTATATGAGAAAGCAAATCGTTGATGTAAACTCATAAACAGCAGGGGCCCGAGGACCGAGCCCTGCGGCACTCCAGACGATACCGGCAAGCTAGAACTACTGAATCTTCCTTTCTCTTCGACACACTGAAGTCTGCCCCTCAGGTATGAGCGCAATAATCTGTGAGGCATGCCCCGGATGCCATACCACTCGAGCTTCTGCATTAGCACTCTATGATCCACACAATCAAAGCCATTTCACCAGAGTCAAAACCCTCGACAATGCTTCCGACAAGACTTAGCAGAGCATGCGTGGTGAACCTTCCGCCCCTAGACTGTTCTTTGCAAGAGTTTGTGCTTTGCAAAATAGTTCAGTAAACGATCTTTTATGTTTTTTTCGGCGATTATAGGGATGATTGCAATAGGTCTATAATTTGAGGGGACGTTGGTATCTCCCTTCTTGTGTAGTGGCACAATCCCGCATATTTATAACTGTTCTGTATATTTCTGTATTTTTGGATTTAGGTTGTCAGCGTCTAGAGAATTAGAATTACTCAAATGTAAAATCACACTCACACAATCACACTAATTCACTGGAAACCGGATCCAGGAAAAACGGCCGCGTGGGGCTTGATAACCTTTTCACAAAGAGCATTGGATAATTTATTTTCTTTATTTAGGCAGTAATGTTCGATTCCACCTGAGAAAAATATAAGTTGAAATGATTGCGAGTAATACTAAAATTCGTATAATTGCGGTTAAGGTTTTTCTCACTGTTTATAAGTTTCCAGCAGCTCCGACCAAGATTGTCAGAGTTGTTAACAAATTGACCGTAAGCTGCAGCTTTTGTCGACTGAACTTCTATTCTATAGCGTCGCGCTTGGCCATGGCCTTTACGTGTACGAGCTTATCATGCAGGCAACTTGGATCGTTGTTGTACCAGTGAATTAGCCTCGAATTTGTGTATTTAATTTGTTTTGTTTTAATAATCTGATGATGATTTACATTGCTTAACAAATTATTAAATAATAATAAAAAAAAATGGGTTAGCATTCAGACATCACTTTGGGGATTAATTTCATAGGCGTTTTAAATTTCGATCGCGGAGACGCGTTATTGCGAAAAACCGCGTAGAAAAGCGCGCGCAAATCCCGTCGAGTTTGGCGGCAAAGCTCAAGCTCCACGCACCTATGAAATGGCGCGAAAGCTCTTGCGGCGCTCAGTCGAATCCGACACATTGGGGTTAAAGGTCATCGAACGTAGACCCGTAAAGGTATTTCGAGCACGACGTCGCGTCACTTTAACCGTGTCAAATAGTTTGGCTTACTTTCCGCGGGGCTCCGGTTTCGCGAACGGTGTTTCGTAAGTTTTTATTAAAATTTTACCGGAAATCTTGAAGGGGGGTGAATATTGGTTTGAAATTACTCGATTTTCTTGTTATTCTTAAACTGTAACTTGTCCCTACCATAATTTGAAAAATCAATTAACAGTTATCTGAAAATTATATACAGGGTGTCTTCAATCCATCACCCTATATATTTTCGCGGTTTTTATTTATTCATTAAAGTTTTATCTCCAAATTTCTGAATATATTTCACGTTTGGCGATCAATATTTCTAATTTCAAACTATGGTCAGGCTTATTCAGAGTGTCCCATATATTACAAAATTATAAGTAGCGAAAATTTGAAAATTTAGGGATAATAATAAATAATAAATAAGAATAATGAACTTAAATGCTCGGAGTTCTTTCAACTAAAGTAATATCAACTTGCATTATTTCAAATCTTATATATTATTGATATATATACACTTCACATATTTGATGTATGCGTTATTGAAATATTAAAATTTTTCTCCCAAAAAATAAGGTTTCCACACCAATGAATATTTGTAAATATTTCTTCCAAGGAATAATTTCTAATTTGGCTTGATGTTATTAGTAATTTAAAAAAAATGACAATTAAGAATCCGATTTTTATCATCTTATTGAAAATTAAATATTAAGTTGTTTTTGTATAAGATAGTATATTCCTAATATTCGAACAAATTATGTTGGTCCGTTGTTTAGTTTCATTTTTTTTAAGATGCATTTTTTTAGAAAAAGCTTCACTTAATTGAAATCTCTATGGACAAAATGTTCAAATCATTTTCCGTCTATAAACCAAATAATTTTTAATTTTCCTAAAATTAAGTGGGAACAATTTCTTCAAATGATTTTTTTTATAATTTGTGATTTGTAGATTGAATATAGATTCCTGATCTACGCTAATAACACTTCTACTTCAGTACTTAACATAAAAAATTTCTAAGATGGATATTTAAGCGCCAGCATCGTGAGCACAAAAATTTTCAATTTAGCTGTGGTATTTTCTTACAATTTTACCCTATCTACCACTTCCAATAAATATTCTCCACAAAAAGAGCGTCATATATGTAGTTCAGAAACGAAATTGAAAATTGAAATTTAAGACTGAAAACTTTTCCAAAATCCAAGCAGCGAATTTATACAATTAATTACAATATCCACTAGCCCGGTAATAAATAGTCCAGGCCTTTGTCGTGAAAGCAAAAAGACCCTGAAATGTCATCCGCCTCAAATTTCGTGACGTTTTAAAAAACGTTTGTCGCGTTCCTCTCTGAAATTATTATTGAAAAGCTTTTATTTCTCATGTTGAATGTTCCAAGTGTTTTTATTTCCTGATACTTTTTCTTTTAGGTAATTATATTTTTCTTTAGTACTCGCCATTTATGAGCGTTTTCCGTCTGTTCGCGAGTAAAAAATTAAATGTTTCGTTTGATTCTTTTTACCCAATTTATGCGATATTAGGTTTCAATATTTTGCTTCAGACATCAAATATAAACCGGTAAATATTTTTCTCCCCGGGAGAATAAAAATCGAACGAGATAAATAGGTAACTGTTTCTATACGGGTAATAAAGCATATTTTTTTGTTTTTCTACTGTCTGTAAAATACCTAATTACCCACCGATCTAGCGTGCGGGAAGCGTCACTTTACCACGTCAGTTTCGTTTCCCACGAATCCGAGCCACTTCGGACATTTCCGGGATTTTACCGCACGGATTTGGGAGCGATCGGATGTTTTCGTAGATATTTCCCACGCTTTGAATTTTGACGTTTGTCAATTCTGACGGTCATGTCAGTGAATGTTTTCGTATTGTTTTGCGAAAATGTACCCAAACACTAACGGTCGTAGAAAAAGTATAGTATGCAACACGTTCGGTAAATTTTTTAACTCGCTTATTAAAAACTCGCTCCGCTCGTGTCAAATAAACTCGTGAGTCAAATGACGTTTACCGCACTTGTATAATATACTATTGTACTTATTTTAAAATGTATCTTCAATCTTCTTCTTCAAAGGACTACTCGGCAAAATCGCAATAGCTAATTGGTTTTGAAAAATAAGTATTTTAATATTTTAACAAATGTTCCATAAAATCTGTCTTCCATACCCATCAGCTGACCAGCTATACAGGGATCTTTGCTTTATGAAACTCAATTGATTTAAACAGTGTAAATTAATATGCAACGTAGTAATAAAAAACTAAAATGTAATACTAATATTATTTTTTTTGTAAATTTTCTATTTGGCAACGACGCATTGCAATCAACATTGAAAAAAAAAATCACCGTGGCATTTAAACATTTCTTCAAGAAATCTTAATATACAAAAATATACAAGGTAGTCCATAATGGTTGCGCCAAAAAGCAGTCTTAAATTTACCTCGTCAAAATAATATTGAGCCAAATATGCCTTAATAAAATATCCCTCATTAGTGAGATACAGAGCGTTAAAATTTATTTATTGTTTTTCTCTATATTCGTTTGATTTCAATGATTAATTTTACCTATTTTATTTTATTTTTATTCCGTTTTAAAATAACGTTAAAATTTTTTTTATTTTGACTAATGAATATTAACGTTAATGTCAACGTAAATGTGTTCACTTCTAGTCCATAGTCCTAAATAACCCTAATGACTACTGAACTACTACTATTTGTAATCCGAATTCAAGTTTTCATGGTTCATGTTTCAAGTTTTCATAAAGCAATAACAATTTCGAGAACTAAAATTTAATGCCATATTTCACTAACTAGCAAAATGTTGCTAAAGCATATTTGGCTTAATATTAATATTTTCAAGAATTTAATCTAGAATAGTATTTCACGGACTACCCTGTGCAACGTGTTCCATTAAAAAATATATCTATTTGAATTTTTTGTTCTCACTGGTGATTAATTAATCTAATAACGAAATTTCAGTGTTACTTAGAATCATTAACATATTTTATCATATCTTTTATATAGTATAATTTGTCATTCAGAGAGAACCTACAACATATCAGCTAATTTCCAGTACCGTGTCATGTCCATTTATAAAATTTATCTATAAATTCTTAATATTTTTTGCCGCAATAAATGCTTTAAACTAATTACCTCATAAATTCTTATTTCTATGACCAAACGAAAGAAAATTGACACTTTTTTGATTAATGTCTTATGTTAACACTGAATTCCATTTCCATAACTTTTGTCTTTAAAATTTAACGAATTTCTAAAATTGGCACCTTGAGACTTATGAAACGTCTAGCAAAACTTGTACTGTTTGCAAACACGGAGTTGATGCAAAGAATTTCTATGATTTTAGTACTAACATTTATTTTATGTCAGTACCATGGATAAATGAGTACCGTGGAAGGGAAACTTTGACATTTGATTCTCGTTCTTGACGCTTTGAAGTACGTTTACAGTAAAACAGGTAAATACTATGCTTAATAAAATTAAAAAGTCTAGTTTTCAAATCTTAGAAATTTTAAGTAAAATTTAACAGAACGGAATCGTCCATATAGTACTTTGCCACAATATCTGGCGATCCTATATGCACGAAAAAAAAATCAGATTTTAAATCCTGCCATCGAATTGGAAGAAATATTTGGGTTGTGGCAACCACACGGATGACCCGACCTATAGAAATTTTATGTCGAAAAGAAAATATCTTCGTGTATCCCACAACAAAAACCGCAATACATATGTCACTGTAATCCAACCAACTAAATTGACGTGGACTGGAGACGAAAAAATGATTATTTACTCAATCACTCACGTTTCCGTACAGCTCACACAACAAGCACCATCTCTCGTTTGCCGTTTGCAGAGATCCTGTAATCCCGAAACTCCCGTCGCTCTAGAATTATGACAGATTTAAGGTCCCAGTTTAGCAATTTTATCTGTTGCCTGTTAATTCATTAAATGATGATCTTGTTAAACGAATTGCCCGGGTTTATTAATATCTCGCGTTTATAGGTCGACTTCAAATAGCGTTGCTGCATTTGAATACACTACGGCGCTAGCGTTAATTAAATTCCGAAACTTTTAATACCAATCGTTTTTTAATTTGACAGTTTGCGTTAACTTTATATTCCTATCTGCTTTGAATCTGCATGAAAAAAGGGGAGATTTCCCAGGCGAACAGCTATTCCGTATACTGTAGAAGGGCTATGATTAGACCATTACATTTACCGCTACTACTGTCGGCACGGCGTTGAATGTTCAATGTTAAAAGTCTTATTGATTGATTTGTTGATTGATTATCAAAGGTGGTTGAAGATAATCTTAAAACTTCATTTTCGCTTTTCCGGTTTGTTATGAATGACCCGAGCTTAGGACCATTTGATGTTTTTTTATCCATACATGTTTCGCAATTCCCGATTTTTGAGTTTCACCCTTCAACGTACGTTTCCTATGTTTTTCTATTGTTATATTTAAAGGCCGTTTAGTTTTTCCAATATACGACTCTCCTCATTCACAGGGTATCCAGTAAATACACTTTGTTTTTTGAGTCCATGTCTCTGGCTTTATTTTTGTAATCCCGCTTCTCAATTTCAGTGCATATTGTGGAGAGCGATATTTTAAATTTTCCCAGTTTCGTTGCCTAGAATGATTTTACTTATAGGTCAGGTACTGGCCGGTTTGTATAGATTTTCTATGTACAGAAATACTAATGAAGCTATTATTTACACTTACTAGAACTTTCGGAAACGGTAGACAGTCCTGCTTCTCTTTCTCAAGGAAAAATTTAATGAATGGCCGTAATGCATTAAGCTGATTGAAAAAGGCTGGCTCTATATTGGTTCCATTCCAAACAACGAAAGAATCGTCACCATAGCGAAGCGGTTTAACAGTTCAATTCATTCCATGTATATATTCTATCACTGGAAAGAGAAAGGAACCCATTGGTAGGCCATCATCTTGTGCATAATAGTTATCTTCCACACCAGTAGCTTCATTACTCCTTCTAGTGGTAACGAAAAATTAATCTACACTTGATAATGGGTAGCCTGAA